TTTTCGTGGATAAAACAAAAGATTTTATTTGCGTGGATATTTGTTTCGTCGTTTTGCCAGTGTCTGCATACATTTTGCACTTCATTTTACAAGAAAATTCATTGTTCACCTGAACCCACGAAATAAACAAAAATTGATATCCTACGAATAATAATGAATGCACAGTATTTGAGAGCCTCATGAATATTAGGATTCACTAGAGACAACTATTTTAGGTAAATGGGTGAATTTAACTTATTATCGATCCTGTTATCGTTTCGGGATATGATGAACACATGATGAATGAATATCAATGATTGGCAGCTGTATTATCGGCAATAAGATGTAACAACTTGTTCTCCATTGATAAACTTAAAACAACGAATTTCATCCTCTGTCATTTTACGAGCACGAACAACGATGTTTTAGATCATATCGTTCATCATTACACTTATGCAGTAAATGAGACGGAACATGAAAACAGAGTCTACTGAAACCTATGCAGAACCATTCCCCTTTTTCCAAAATATCGTGATTGAGATGCATATCACCAAGAATATACTGTCGAAAATGATTATAAATGTAAATGTACACAGGAGCAACTTGAAATTTTGCAACGGGATACATGAAAAAGATCTTCGTCAAATGGAAGAATAAACTGCGATATTTTTTGGGGGATCACCCAATACAATCGAATATGCAGCAATCTATCTTTGACGATTAGCCAAGACAAGAGATATTTTCAGAGTGTGTGAGTTTCAAGATATGTGCTTGATGCCCTCAAACTTTATCTCGTCATCGACTGATGGTTGCATTTTGCCTCCTCACCTTGCATTTGATTGAAGGAGTTGAAATAACTCTCTTAAGTTGAAATAGTCACAGTAGTTGATTATATTACTTCTTTGGTCAATTAATCTTTCAGCAGTACTGTATGTATGTTTTAATTCCAAAAACATCTCCAATATTATTCCCCAAGTTCTTGTACATGCATTCAAACAGTCGGTCAATAATGTATATGCATCCTTTCCGTCGGGAAAACTACAACCTACCGTTTCTATTTTTTTATTTTCGTCTAGTAGTATCTTTTCCACCCTTGGTTTAGATTCATTTTGTCTTGTTACTCTGTCCGATGTTTTTGTAAGTAATTTTATGTTTTTTTCATATTCTATTTCCTTCTATTTAGTTTTGTTTCTCATCTGAGTAAGATCTGATTGAAAGCTGTTGCATTCATCATTTTTGTTGTGCAGGGGAGAAAATTATCGACCGTCTGTTTTTCTACTTGCCTTTCTCATCTATAATGACCAAACGTACCTACAATTGTTTAGTTGTAACAACAACGGGAACACCATTTCTTTCAACTGTCGACATGAAGATAGCAAATACAGAACGCACATGCAACATTGTCTGCATATACCGTTCAAAATTTTTGTAGTTTTTTCCGTATTGTATTAGATCTCATGTTGTAATTACTGTGGATTCATTATTATTCATTGCAAAAAGTAAAATAACAAAAATACCGAACTCCGAGAAAATTCAAAACGGAAAATCCCTAATCAAATGGCAAAATCAAAAGCTCAAACACATTAAACGATTGGATAACAACTGTCATATTCCTGACTTGGTACAGGCATTTGCTGATGTAGAAAATAGTGGACTAAACCTGGTTTTATAGCTAGCTAAACCTCTCACTTGTATGACAGTCGTATGACAGATGTTCAATGATTTCCTTGATACAGGTGAACCATGAATTTAAGTGTGTAAAGCAGTACAAATTTGTTTAAGTTTTGTATGCATATTTTAAAACGGCTTCAACAATGAGCAAAACTCATAACATTAACAGGTCATAAAAACATAAATTTTGTATCCGCTTTAGCTGTTATGTTTGTTCTGTTGTGTTGATGACCTCGTCCAGATCTTGTTGTTATTTTAGATAAAGAATTTTGTGTAACGATCAATGTTACGTGTACAACTCTTGTTTTCAGAAGGCATCTTATTTTAGTTATACTCATTTATCATCGGGTCTGTACTTAAACGAGCAACACAACAGGTGTCACATATTGAGCATGATGATCTGAGCACCTGAGAAAATACAGTTTTTGGTGGGGTTTGTGTTGCTCAGTCGTTCGTTTTCTATGTTGTTTTTTTGGTACTGTTGTTTGTATGTTATCTTATTTTTAGCCATGGCTTGTCGGATTATTTTGACTTACGATATTATAAGAAGATGTGTTATGAGTGCCGATTGGACAACTCTCCATCCAAGTCACAATGTATGAAATGTAAACAATGATAGGTCAAAGTACGGCCGTCAACAGGGAGCCTTGGCTCACACCGAACAACAAGCTATAAAGGGCCCCCAAAATGACTAGAGTAAAACAATTCAAACAGAAAAACCAACGGTCTAATCTTAAAAAAAAAAACGAGAAACGAGAAACACTTATGAACCACACCAACAAACGACGACCACTGAACAACAGGTTCTTGACTTAGGACAAGTGCATACAATAGCAGCGGATTTAAACGTTTTAACAGGCGCCAACATTCACCCTAACCTGAAATAGTAGTGTATCATTACAACATAAAAAGACACACTATAAAATATCAATTGAAATAGCTTAACTCTATCAAAAAGATATATAAACAAAAACAAGTAAACATTCACTGAACGAATAAGTTTGATCTATGACACAATATAACTACAATATGATTAAAACAAAAAGATGTAGGAACAATGTAAAAAAGACAACTCTAACCTGGTACAAAATGGCGTTAAAGAAAATAAGGTACACAGGTAAATTTGAATATAACAATTGTGTTGTTAAGAGTAGGGAAACATTTTTTACAAAATAAATTTGTTGTTCACAGTATAGTTATGAGTTTGGATGTCTATTTGGCATCTTTCGCCTCTCTTTTAAGACACTGTTCATTTTCAGTTACACTTTTGACTCAACAGGGTTGATGAAAACAATGCCTTTCAAAGCTAAGTTTGTATTTTGTTAATATTCAAATGTCTAACACATATATTTGTTTATATCATGCATAGCGACTATGTGAACAATAGGATTCATCGGCGCATATAGTTTTAGAAAATAAACAAAAACTGAATTTTTCTTTATAACAAGCTAAAATAGTCATTATTTACATGTATAATGGTCATGATTTATATGAAAAGAAGGATATATAAGTTACACAACAATGAGACAGCAAGCCAACAACCCCAAAACAAAAGACATTTCGAGGTTATTATGTTGTCTTCAACATAACCATTGTCCTATACAACCCTTTGTTGGAGCGCATTGAAAATATAAAACAAAGGCATGAAACAATATCAAGTTCCGTAAAAAAAAAAAATGATTAACTACAAAACACTTTTTGTTAAAGGGGCATTATCTGTAAATTTCATGTTCACTGATTTGACTCAAATTCTCATATTTGATTTATAACATACTAAAACGTATATCCAAATTATAAAAAGTCTAAAATAAACAATTTACAAGGTATGGGTTAGATAATATGTAACATCATTTCGTGTGTATTTTAGTTAAGATGCCATCTAATTAACCATCGACGTGACATCCGAAGACTGACGACGGTCATATAACCCGATATAAACATAAATATAGATAGCGAACTCGTGCAATTGGATTTCTCTGCGACTGTTTGATTTCATATGATAATTGATCATCTATTTTAACTGTATAAGAATGAGTTTTTGTGGATCGAATCAGTCAATCAAATGGTTTACCCTTGTTTCACTTTCAATGTTGACATTCTTTTCCATTGAATAACTGAACACGCCTAATTCATGCGTAACCTATCTCTAACTAAGGGGTTAAATGGAAAGTCACACGAAAAAGGATTCAATGAGGTCAAATTATTCACTTGGAAGGGACTTATTCATCAGCGATGTTTCTTAGCTTATTTTAAAAAAAATGAACCAAACTGGCTGCTTAAAATGAATTATTATTTCACTATTTCACTTTCATCAATGATTGAACAAAAAAAAATCCGTATTTTGATTTGTAGTATATCTCGTAGCTATTGGCTCTTTAAGCAAATGCAATTTATATACACATACTGAATTGAAATAAACATGAGTATGCTTAATGACATAAACATATATTGAATACAAGGTTGAGGAAAACAAACATTGCTACATATTTATCACTTATTATCATCATTTTAAGCAATTTTTATTTAATTGTTTGCATTTAGCATTTTCATGTTTGTTTTAAACAATTGCAAGACAAAGATAAAACTGTAAAATTATGGCAAGGGGAAATATGCAGACACCTTTATGTCCACTAAAATGAATAGTCCACAAAAATGAATAGATCACAACCAACACTGCTAAAGATGGAGTTAACACCCACGTGTTTCTGGAATAACCTTTCATAGGATTTTGTCGTCTTGTGGCCCTAATTTTGAAAAGCTAAAACGTTTAATGAGCCATGTTGGTTTTTATGAATTGACATCACAATGGCTACATCCGACTCGGTATAAAGTATGTTTTCGAAGTAGTACCGGTCGGGGCTGTTTTTTTGCATTGTAATTGTTTGAGCAGATATAAACATCCCTTATGGATAACTACATGGACCTCTATTATAATGCCATTTGAAAGACACAGAATATTTTTTGGTGAATGTACACTAAAGATATGGGGTAAAAAACAATACCACTCCTGTGGTTTACAATCACTCGCGTCAGTCTAAATATCTAAAGAAACCAGAGATTGTGTACTAGTATTTTTGTTTGAGTGAGAAAATATCAAGGAAACAATATAAAACTTTTACATTATTAATGTTAATTTACAATTTATGAATTATGTTATTATAGTAAAATCAAGTATGTATCCCCCGTACGCAAAGTGATTCGGATGTTCTATTTTAGTCATTTTGATTTTTAAGCCCCAAATGTGTCTTATATATATACTGGTTAAAAATGGGACGTTCAACGAACGAGTGGTGTGTGCACTGAATATATATGGTACGTTAAAAATTCAGAAACATGATTGAAAAAATCATTCACTTAAACGTTATATTCTCATATTGTTTATCTACTGTATGCATTGTATCAATCTGTTCATATGTATTTGAATTATCTTTTGATCTAAGTTCCTGGTAAAAAGATGCATTGTCCATTCCAATTTCTTCATACTGGCCTCCACTGAAATAATGAAAGTAATGTCAAGATGTAATGAACGTGAACTGAATGGTCAACATGGAACATACTTTTTAGTTTGCCGGATACACTTTTTCAAATATGAACAAGCACAAGTGCTGACCGAGTCTAGTAGTGTTCATTATTTAACACTATGTTACATGATTTTATAAGTAGTTTCAAAAGAACCTTTGAAACTTGGGTTTTCTACCCACAGTCAACTATAGCGTTATTTACAGTTTTCCAAAAGGTTTTGGAATTGTGGTTTCGTAATTGATACGATCTTATAACTGTTTTCATTCGAGCACCAGTTATGATTATTATGCGGACGAATTATAAGTCTTTTGTTCAAAATTTATAAGTCTACACTAAGATAACGGACTTTATACATCTGTCCAATACATTTCATTTTCGAAATATTAGTAAAGATCCTGTGTTTGTGTAATCACTAGATAAGAGCTTAGTATAACCATTCTACTTACATTTGTAACTCTTCTGGTGTTTGTTTTGCTCCTGCAAAAACAGCAACAACAACTCATATAACAGGCAATCCTAACTATTATATCGCCAACGCAATTCTTTAATCATAACACAGAATGTTTAAACAGGGTTAAAAAGCATTCAGATTACAGGTTCTTTCACTAAGGTAAACAATTTCCGTATATTGCAGGAGGTAAAAATTCGATAAAATATATCCATTTTTCATTGAAGTACGCCCTATTGTTTGTTTTTTTCTGTTGCTGATTTGCATCTTCCAGTTGTTTTTTTGTATTTTTTTTTGTATATATATAATTCTTGTTCGAATATTCTATATTTTGATCTTCTACCTAATATACAAATATATTTAACATTATTAATTAAAAATAGAAATACTACGTAAAGATATTAACAAACGACAAAATAAACATACACAAATTCTTAACTATATCAATAAATATTGTATACACTTATTTGCTATCGTAGTTATATGTATTCTTGTACAAAATATATGCAACAAATCCTCTGCAATATTGAATACGTACTTGATTGTTTTGAATTGAAATTTTTTCTCCGGATTGTATAGAATAGAAGGCCAACAACAAGACCACCGAATATAACACAACCAACTGCAGCTCCTACTACCGTCTGTATTGTGTATCCTTTGGGTGACACTAGTGATTGTGCTAAAAAGAATATGATTCAATGCATCAATAAAGAACATCATGATATCGTATACCTTGAGAATATTTGTTTTCAAATATACATCATACATTTATGTTCATTTAAATAAATGAGACCATATGACTTAACGCATAACAGTATTTCACGCATGCCAGAGACTGACTAAATATTACAATTAACCTTTCTATCCGTTTTATTTCTAATTATTTTTTTAACAAAAAGGAAGAGGTCAACATATAGTCAGTGCAATTGCCCAATTATAATCCGATTCGGTGCGTATGACTACATGTTCCAGTCTTGTATATATAAAATCAGCCCTTCAACTGGAATAAGAATTTCTGGTTAGTACTAGATGCAGCTGAGGTATGTGTCAGAAAATGGGTAAAGTGCTATCCAGATGAATCAAAACTGGACACTTTATTCACTGTTCGTTCAGGCATTCAGAAGCACATTAAAACTCTACGATGTATAATGAACACACATGTTTTTTACACTTTCAAGACATCAAAGATTGTGGATCCTTTATCAGTTCTCCACCACAAAAGACATGTTGTTGTTCCAGCAGACAAAAATCTCTGTGCTCCTTACACAGAAACTGCTCCAATAGAACTACTGAAATCTACACCTGCACTATTTCAACGGTCACCATCACGATTTGGTTTGATCGATACGATATGTCTGTGTCTTATCTGAACAGCGACATTTTTCTCTCCAACACTTAGCAATCTTTTGTTTTATATTTGTCATTCATACTAGTAAGCTTTGACAATTACACCGGTACAATGTTCACACATTTGCACATATGTGATATATGCTTTTCACACAATTCATTCCACGTATTCGTCAGGGTTTCGTTTCGCATGCATCATATGTGTTTTAGTTTATGTACTACCAATGATTCACATATTTGTTATATGCACGCATCATATAACAATAAGAAGATGTGGTATGATTGCAAATAAGACAACTCTCCATCAGAGACCAAATGACATAGAAGTTAACAACTGTAGGTTACCGTAAGGCCTTCAACAATCATCAAAACCCTTACCGCATAGTCATCGTGCTTGTTTGCTTAAGGGCCAAGCATTTTGCATAATCACAGGTCCATCATCAATAGCAGTATGCTGATCCATATTGTATGGTGTAATTGAATTTTTTACATTAATCAAAATAAACATAAAGTACGCTTTTCATAGGATCGACGAGAAAATCCAATGTTCATCTTATCATACCACAAGTGTTCAATTATCGTTGTGATTCCTATATGACAAAGAATGAACGCTTTAATGAAATTCTATGGCACTTGTTCCAGGAGAAGTTCCTGATAATTTGTTTTTCTATTATCAATGATATACATTTGTACTAGGGCGAAATTGGCTTACCGATGTTCAAATACGCAAATCGATTACGATTAGACAAATCAAGGTAACAAACTAATATTGAGGGAATCGGATGAACTCTGAAAGTGTAAACATCAAACAGATAAATAAATCAAGCTACTACTTTCAATTGATCTTGATTTAAAACATAATATATTTACTATCTTGCTTTGTTGTAACTGCAACGGACATGTCAGACTGTTCACTGCTGCCTTTGTCTGTAGCTGCAACTACAGAACATGTGTAGTTCAAATATGCCTCCAGGCCTGTGAAATGTAGGGTCTGTGTACCGAAACCTACAAATCACAAAATAAATGTAAAAAAACTTGACTTTAATTTAAAATACTCAAATTTCATCTCCATCAATATTCCCAAAATTCAAATAAGTAGCCTTATCTTTTTAGCACGAAACAAATTCAAACTTATGTATACATGTTATATTAAAGAAATCAACAGTTAAACTACATCACTGTTTTTATATTTGAATCCGTTTGTTTACTCATCAAACGTAGCCTATCCATATAAGAGAGACTTAAGATACGAAGGGGACATTCAAACTCATAAGTCAAAAATAAACTGACAACGCCATGGCAAAAAGAGAAAAGGACATAGAATTTACAAATAAAAGAGCGGATATAAATTATTAAATGAAATTACACTATTTTTACATTGTTGCATTAAATCAGGAAACCCACAAGGGTTTTTGATATTGTCTCTATAGACTTTTTTTTAACTATTTATCGCAAAATACATCTCATATATTTTCGAGTTTCATTTTAATCTATTAACAACTTGTCCAATACAATGTTAATAATAGGACAATTTCGGTTGATTGGTTGTTGTCTAATTTTTTTTTCACATTAAAAATCTGAGAGCTCTGCGTTTAAAAATGGCATTCAGACAATATTCTTAGATGTTTAATGTTTAATGTTTATGGAATAAAAAAAAATAATATGGGACAATAAAAATGAATGCAAAATAAACCATGCATTCTTGTTTCTCATCCTTCGTGACAGAGTTCCTAAAGATCTCATAATGAACGAGGTCAAAAACGAAAACGGAGAGGGGTGTTATAAAAAATGGTAGACAGTTGAAGTCAACTGGAAGAAAGATTAACTAAACCATGATGGCGTCCGTAACACTTTGGAAGCAATAACTTCTACTTTGACATTAGGAAATCTGATTTAACAGTTATTTGTATGCAGCAATCCTGCAGTGTCTTGGAAATCCTTATATGAAACAAAAATCCTAAGTAGTTTCATCTTTGAGCTTTATACTCGACATGCATGTACTGCTTTGATGTTGCTAATGTACAAAGGAAAGTTCATGATAAGATGATTGAAGTAATGTCTTTTAGTTGTAAGCCTACCATCATCGTCAATGTCTGTGCGTATGTGAATATAAGAAGCAGATATAACTGTATCTATGTATCCTTCTTTTGATGTTCAATTGGACAGAAATGATCAACATAGTCACCACTCTTTGCCTTATTTAGTTATCGAAGAAGGGAGGTGAAGTCAAATTCATCCAAAATTTTACGGAGGTTATCATGATTTGGATGACCATTATGCATTTTTTTGAAGCAAATGACAACCGATATCTTTCACTTGCCACAATCCCCTTTTCCGTTCAACGAGTGTAACATTACCGAACAAACTTGCATGACCAATACGACTCCGGATCCTTAGTTTCACCAAAGGTTTGAGTTATATGCTTTGACGTTAACCTGTCGGCTGTACTGCTCCTGATACCATTATAATATAACTCATATTATATGTTCCTCAACAAATGTACAACGCAATGTCATGAATGTAATGTAAAATAATATGCTTTTCTGCATACCTTTGCTCAGTTTAAGCGATACCAGAATAAAAAGATATATCAAAAATTGTGGTTCGTGTTGTTAAATAATTGTTTTTTGTGTAATTAGTTGTAATTTTTTGTTTGTCTATTCGTTGTTTTAATATCTGGGGATGGTGTGGTCTTTTATTTTTTTGGCATTTATAATACTTGATAGCCCACATATTTTGTCTACTCTCTCTCTCTTTACAATTAGAAACGAACAATGAGACCGATTACATTTTAGTTAATAAATTCAATCTTAAAAGCTACATTGATACGCATTATTGAGAATGCATGTTGAAAATATGTTCGAAAACATGCGATGTGTACACTAGATCATGATCATGCATTTGTATTAGAAACTAAAATACCTACCAGTTACGTTTGCTATTTTCAGAAATACCGGTTTCGCATTTTGAATCACTTCAAAAACCTTCACGTAATAAGTTGTAACCCCTGGTCTTGGTTTTGGTTGCTTCCATGTTACTGTTATTTCACTTGAACTTGCGACTGAAGCAATTACATCAAAAGGCTTTTGTGGAACTGCCAACCAAAATGATAGAAAAAAAAACCAATTATTTCGTCAAAAAAACAAACAAGTGAATTCAAAAATGAAATAAAAAAGTTGAAAATCCATATTTTCTTAGCATCTCGGCTTCCTTGTTTTGTTTTTGTGTTTAATTTTATTTTAATCAAAACTAACAAAACAAACGTTGAAAGCAAAGTTTGATCGATCATACATTCAACATACTAATTTCAAACTTAATCATTTGATGGACATCGTGACAATGAGTTTTCACTATGGTAAATGAAAAGAGTATATGATGTTTACGATATCGAACACGAACATTAAAAGATCAGAATGTTATAAAATCTTTTATAAAAGAATATCTTTAACAGAAGCATTTGACTTTGACTTTAAAAAATAATCATACGTATGTATGGATATCATGAAATTCCGTGAAATCATCGTTTTGTCATCCGACAGAGTACACAAAAACAATCCACTAAACATGATAACTAAAATACATTAACTACAATTGGGGAGACATGTACCAAAAATGGCAGTTAAAACCATAAGTTAAATGAAAACAAATATCAAAAGACCACCAGACAAAATCAGTCCACCAAAAACTTAAACGAATTATAGATTGAGAAATGCGAAGTCGAACAAATCAGGTTTGAACTCTGGTTGTACAATACAGTTAAAAGGGAGATAATGACATTACTAATGAAAAATGATAATTTGCGCGACGTTTAGACATTTTAGCAAAAGATGTGTGTTTCGACTGCTTTTAATCATGAGATTGACATGGGCACCTCTTTTCTAAAATGGCATTTGGCATAATTGTGTAGGAAGATTATTTATAAAAAATTATTAATAAATCAGCGATCAAACTTTTTTAATAGACAAAATATACAGTAAAAACCGCTGTTTTTTTTCCAAAATCTTGAAATTTAATAAATATGAATTGTTTCCAAAGAAAAGATACACATATGTATAGCATAATTATGTGAAGAAGATATTCCATTTTTTTTTTATCACAAATTCGCAAGTGTTTATCTTTTGAAACAAAAAAGTAATCTGTTTCTGTCGAAAGGATAGAATTGTCAAAACCTAGAATATACGTAGATGTTTAAAACTTCAACCCCATTAATCTCTAAAAGTAGCATTGGCAGCAATAATTTGTATAACATATTTCATTGAATAGACTAGTGCAAAATGTATTATATGCAAATTTTGGTAAAAAATCTACGTGGGATCAGAATTGTACCGGACGCCCTTAAGTTTACTTTTATTTAGTTTCACTAATGTATTATACATGCTATAGTCAGTATTGATAATCACAAGGACGAAAGTCACGCCAACTATAATATATACCTTCTGAATCGGTTTCAATTGGTGTTTCACTCCTGTTTCCATCACCAGCTGCATTTATCGCATTTATCCACACATCATAATATGTATAGGGTAATAACTGGTTTATTTCATACGACATGGATGACATCAGGTCTGTATTACTTCTATTTTCTCGTATCAGTCTTTTGTCTGCTGTGCATAAATGCTGTATTCGCTAAAATTGAAACTGTTGCAATGACATCTTCCTTGAGGGTGACAATTTAGTCATGCAGATCTTTCTATTAAACAGCTTTGAATATGGTTTAAAAATTTTCACTGTGTTATTGTCTACAACCAGATCAAAACATAACTGGTTCTGTAGTTTTAGAGATAGCTAGAAAACGTTTATTTGTATTGTGTTCTTCTTTATTTCATCCAAATTACTTAGAATAAAGTACTTTGCTAAGATGTTGCCGATTCATTATATGCTATACATTTATTTTCATTGCCTGAGGGAGATATGAAGATTTGTTCTCCCAAGAGTATATTGTGGAGTGATTCTAGGATACACATTTGAGAGGAAATTGCCTTAAAATATGGATATTCCTAGAAAATAAGGAGGCAGAGTAAGCCATACTCAGTGTGTTGGGGAGCTTTTTCTCCTTATTTCCTATATTTGGTTATACAAGAAAACTCTTTCCTAATTACTCCTGTAATAAATATACAGTGATAAGTAAATTATATTATTTTTTTAGCAGTAACAACACTTTTTGCACTAAGAGAGAGCCAATATGTCCCTCTCTGGAACGCAGTGTAAACTTAAGTTTTACATTAGGACCTATTGAAACCATTCAGTCAGTAAACCTTTATATGGATAGTTCATTCAGCTTGAACACTTTAATTATTCATCTATTATTACATTCCTTACACAAATAGGGACATAATAATGAAGACACAGAGGTACATTAGTTGTGCTTATCATCTTCTGTTGTATTTTATTCAACTGTTTTTTATTGCAGATGAGATGAATATTTGATCATTTATCGGTCCACACTATATTCTGTCATGATGCAGTGTGATAAGAATTTTTCGGAGAAATTTTGCTGTAAATGTTGTCTTACAACATATCAATTTTCTCTGAAACTCTTGAAGTGATTACGACAAAACTTGACAGTAATGCTTGAAAAAGCAAGTATTTTAAACTGAAAAAAAAACACATTCAATTTATTCTACAAAACAGTCTTCTTTTTATTGTAATGAATGGAAAAAAAATAAGTTATATTTTAATTGCCGCTATGTGGTCCTCTAGATAATTGTTTATATATACAAAATATGGACAAAACATGTTTACTCAAAATTGTTTCAGAAAAAGCTTTTATTATTTTATATTGACAATACAAAAAAATGAATAAACACAATAGACATCAGATGATAATTAAAGATTGCAGTAATGGGTTTACGTGGGGGCAAAAGAATGTTTTTACTCCGAAACACCTTCTTTTATTTTCTTACCGACATTTTACATGTTTGTTGATAACATATTGTTTTATGAAAGACAACATATTCATTTAACAACATTTTTAGATTGGGATCTTATCTTTGCCTTCATATAACTTGTTTATAAATGTATCTTTTTTAACGAAATACTTGCCTCATTGGAACACGAAATACTGCAAACAAGTAATACTTCGACCCTACAATCATTATTTAATAGAACTCTTAAACGGTATCCCAATATGGTCCCTTTTGAATCAACTGGTTTTCTCCATGATATTTGAATACTTCTGCTTGTCATACCAAGCATGACACTTGTTGGAACACTAGACACTGTAGAAAAAATTAATTATCAGTAAAATCTGTGTAAAAGGCGCATACACACATTATGCAAAAAATAAAAATAGAAACGATTATATGCTTCCTAACTGTTATTCCTTACTGCTATTAGATCGAAATTAGAATTAAGGGGATACCAATCACTTTGACTAAACAAGATTTGGCTAGTTTAATTTTCAAAAAATTTTGACAAATATATCTAATTTGAACCACACAATTTACATGAAATAATAATTTCATTGGATATATAACAGTTTGACAAACACTTACAATGACTTACTTTGATCATTGAGAAACTTGATTTCCCTAACTAATATTTTGTGATTAAAGCATTCAGCTGATTGTTAAAGACTTAACTCCCTGATGTATTTTATATCCCCTTAAAGCTCATCAACGTTTGAATACTTTCTGAAATTTGAGAAATAGCTTGGCTTCTAGCATCTTTGAATATACTTTAATTGTTGAAAGGCGAATGTTTGTACCGTTTATGTCATTATGAAAAACAAAAAGCACAGACCACCATAAGACATTTAAACGTTAACACGTACTGTAATGTAATTGTTTTTGTTATTAGTTGTGTATTTTCACCCGTAATTTAATTCCTAATTTAAATTTTAAAAAATTCAACTTGAATGTAGCACACGCTTAGAGTTTGGTATTGTTGATAAACTTTCTATCCTGTTAAAAGCTAATTTGTAGCATATTTACAAGTCCCACCTGTACAATTGATTGGACTTGTAGGTTCATTTTCAGCATACCAATTTGCACCAACACTCTTTTTTATGAACAACACGTTACTCTACAGTTAAATCATTATCCTGTACTGACTTTCATTGCGCGTTCTTATGTTTCTTATGTTATTTTACTTATAGCAATTAAAAGTAAACATATTTAAATAAAACTTTCCAAATCTCTCAACATAATCTTGTCAGGAATTTAGTTTGTGGTTGTCTTTTGTTTCATACTTATGTATTTTTTTTATCATTTTGGAAGTATGTGTTGGAAGCAGATATTTTCAAAAGTCACATTTTCATTTATTCACAACTTATTAAGACCATGGGTAATTTGGAGTTGAATTCAATATTCATACATGCATATTGTAGAACCGTACATGCATCTAGGTTTACTGTCTTATTTACAATTTTATTTATTGGTATCGATTACAAAGCTATACCTTTAGACAATTCAAAAGGAAAGACTTAATTGAAGAGGTTATAGAAAAGATGATGAAGACTTGTATACTGCATTATATTTGCATAACAGATTGACAGAAGCATAACATACATGCGACACAGTTTGATCCCGTCCAATACCGATTTGTAGAACATTGACAATTTCCACTTGAACATGTCATTGGACTGAAACATTCAAGGTCAGCATTACAGGCTGCATTAAAATCTTTCTCTGTAAACAACATTAACATTACACATATTGTTAATTTAGTATAAAAATATTCTTTATTTAAAAGGTATTATTTTCCCTCTTCTGACCCAATGAAGCCTAATTGTTTTTTTTTTCTTATAGTAGGTTGAACATGAATGTTATCTGTAAAACGTAGTCTTTAAAAATAATAAAACGTCAATTAGAGGACACCGCAATATGCAAACTGTTTGTATAATCAAGTTAAGATAGATGGAACTTGTATTAGGGTGGGCTTCGCAGTATTAGATTTACACAACAGTCGGATATTTAAATGCATATTATATAAAAATAAATTAGTACAGTAGTTTAACGATGTTTAAATCGCATGAATTGATGAAGAAGACATTTCAAAGTTACAAACAAAAATATAGGAAACCGCTTCAACTCCAAAAAAAGCTACACAGGGTGCGACGACAATTTGGGTTCATTACTGATAAATAGAAACATAACTTACGTGCAATACAATTTGATCCTGTCCAATACTGATTTGTAGAACATTGACATCTTCCACTTGAACAATCCATTGGACTGAAACATTGGCTGTCAGCAGTACAGGCCGCATTCACATTCTTCTCTGTAAATAACATTTTAGTTTGATCAGACTACTTGTTGCTCTCCTTCAATTATGAATCTATTAAATTTTACTACCAAATATTTATAGCGGTTTTCAAGATAATAAACAAATCTTTCATTTTACACCTATGTTTTCTTTTAGTCATGTCGGCTATGTTAGATGACAGGCGGGGTCACCGGACATTTTTGTTGATCTAAACATCCTAATGATGATTGTGACCAAGTTTGGTTAAATTTGTCCCTATAGTTTTAGAGGAGAAAATGTTTGTGACAGCTACATAGAAAAGCTTACTTTGCCTTTTAAACAGTTGAACTTGAAATGTGTGAGGTTTATGTAAATGAAACAACGTAAAAAATCTGCAGTTTCATCATTAATTCTTTCGTGCAGTGCAAGAAGATCCTGTCCAATACTGATTTGTAGCGCATTTACAAGCCCGATCAGCACAGGTTATTGGACTTAAACATTCATTGTCAGTATTACAAGTTACACCAACACCCTTGCATGTGAACGAAAGAGAGTGACCTAATGAATTAGACTAGTTACCGGATTTGAACTAACATGAGCAACACAACGGGTGCTACAGGTGGAGCAGGATCTGCTTACCCTTCCGGAGCACCTGATATCACCCCTAGTTTTTGGTGGGGTTTCGTGTTGCTAAGTCTTTAGTTTTCTATGTTGTGTTTTGTGTACTATTGTTTGTCTGTTTGTCTTTTTCTTTTTTAACCATGGCGTTGTCAGTTTATTTTCGATTTATGAGTTTGAATGTCCCTCTGGTATCTTTCGCCCCTCTCATTTAAATACCTTGCAAGTTGTTGGATTTTTATGTTCTATTTTCACGTTATTATAGTGCTAAGTACCTTGTTTTAATGATTGTACAATATATTTTTGTTTACCTTTTTGTTATTCTATTTACCGACACTATAAGAGAAGGTTTGAGGTGTAAAACATAACCGTTTTAACATGTTTAACCCCGCTACATAATCACGTGAATCTTAAAAGTCAAAGATCTCGTCATGGGTTGTCTTTCGTTATATCGTTTACTTTTTTTGTCGTTTCAAAATAAGATTTACATGGCAAATACCTTTGAAAAAATTTTTAAAATTAAATCAAAACATTTTACACTACACGGAATTTGAAGTTGGACACATTGCATAAATATATTTATTGATGAAGATCGTACGTTTACCTCTAGCTGTTCTGTAGTGGATTGAGTTGTTGGATTACTATATCGTTTACGTATATATCATGATAGAGTTTTATAATTAATTATCAACAACAAAGCTATAATGCTAGACAGCTACAAAGGAATGACTGAATTAAGGAACTGTATAGCAATGATCACATATGAATACTTTGTACTGAGTTTTATAGTACTACTGATGAATAGAAATTAAGCTTACTTGCAATACACTTTGATCCTGTCCAAAACTGATTTGAAGAACATTGACATCTTCCACTAAATTCGTTTATGGTAAACTTGGTTAACATTACTCTTTATTAAAAGCTTTTCTTTGTTTTTTTTCTAAATTTATAATAAGAATACAGTAATAAAATCTTCTTCTTTGTGCAATATCAAAAAGTTTGACCAGACTACTTTTTGCCCTCCTTCAATTATGAATCTATTTTATTTTACTGCTAAGTATTTATGGCGGTTTTCAAGACAATAGACTAAATTGTACATCTTTGTTTGACCTTTAGCCCTGTCGGCTATGTTGGATGAACGGCGGTGTTATCGCACACATTTGTAAAACTAAATATCCTAGTGATGATTGTGGCCAAATTTGGTTACATTTTGCCTAGTAGTTTCAGAGAAGAAATGTTGTGTTAAATTAAAACATGACGACGGCCGACAGCTTTAGAGAAAAGCTTACTTTGTCCTTTTGAACAGTTGCGCTAAAATTATGTGAGGTATATGTAAATGAAAAAATAACGAACCCAACGACAAAAAAAAAACGTTGAAAAAAATCTATATTTAAGCAATTGGTTCAATAAAATTGTATTAAAATTACAAATACTTTATATTCATTTGAAAATGTAATCATGACTTTTATATATAATTAATTCTTACGTGCCGTGCAAGACGATCCTGTCCAATACTGATTTGTAGCGCATTTACAAGCCCCATCTACACAAGTCATTGGACTTGAACATTCATTGTCAGTATTACATGTTTCACCAACACCCTTTCCTGTGAACAAATGAATGTAAATGCCCTACAAGTTCTTGCATTTTTATGTTCTATTTTAATGTTATTATAGAGTTAATTAACTTGTCTTAATGATTGTAAAACATATGTGTGCGTACCTTTTTGTTATTCTTTTTACCGACACTATAAGAGAAGGTTTGAGGTGTAAAACTTAACCGTTTTAACATGTTTAACTCAGTTACATAATTACGTGATTCTTAAAATTCAAGGATCCCGTCATTGGTTGTCTTTTGTTATATCGTTTACTTTCTTTGTCATTTCAAAATAAGATTTACATGGCAAATACCTTTGAAAAATTCTTTTTAAATTTAATCAAAACATTTTATACTAAACAAAATTTGAAGTTGGACACATTGCATAAACATATTTATTGATGAAGATCTTACGTTTACCTCTAGTTGTTCTGTAGTAGATTGAGTTGTTGGATTACTATATTGTTTACGTATATATCATCATAGAGTTTTATAATTAATTATCAACAACAAAGCTATAATGCTAGACAGCTACAAAGGAATGACTGAATTACGGAACTGTATAGCAATGATTACATATGAATACTTTGTACTGAGTTTTATAGTATTACTGATGAATAGATATTAAACTTACTTGCAATACAATTTGATCCTGTCCAAAACTGATTTGAAGAACATTGACATCTTCCACTTGAACAAGTCAAGGGACTGATACATTCGCGGTCAGCAGTACAGGCCGCATTTACATTCTTCTCTGTAAACAAAACTTTTATTTTAAATTTGTTTATGATAAACTTGGTTAACATAACTCTTTATTAAAAGCTTTTCTTTGGGTTTCTTTTTTTCCAAATTTATAATTAGAATATAGTCATAAATCTTGGTTTTTTTTGCAATATCAAAAAGTTTGACCAGACTACTTTTTGCCCTCTTTCAATTATGAATCTATTTAATTTTACTGCTAAGTATTTATAGCGGTTTTCAAGACAATAGACGAAACCTAAATTTTACACCATTCTTTTACTTTTAGCAAAGTCGGTTATGTTGGATGGACGGCGGTGGTTACGCACACATGTGTTAAACTAGATATCCTAGTGATGATTATGGCCAAGTTTGGTTACATTTTGCCTAGTAGTTTCAGAGAAGAAATTTTGTGTTAAATTAAAACATGACGACGGCCGACAGCTTAAGAGAAAAGCTTACTTTGTCCTTTTGAACAGTTGAGCTAAAATTATGTGAGGTATATGTAAATGAAAAAATAACGAACCCACCGACAAAAAAAACGTAAAAAAAATCTATATTTCAGCAATTGGTTTAATAAAATTGTAGTAAAATTACAAATACTTTATATTCATCTGAAAATGTAATCATAACTTTTATATATAATTAATTCTTACGTGCAGTGCAAGACGATCCTGTCCAATACTGATTTGTAGCGCATTTACAAGCTCCATCTGCACAAGTCATTGGACTTAAACATTCATTGTCAGTATTACATGTTTCACCAACACCCTTTCCTGTGAACAAATGAATGTAAATGACCTACAAGTTCTTGCATTTTTATGTTCTATTTTAATGTTATTATAGAGTTAATTAACTTGTCTTAATGATTGTAAAACATATGTGTGCGTACCTTTTTGTTATTATATTTACCGACACTATAAGAGAAGGTTAGAGGTGTACAACATAACCGTTTTAACATGTTTAACTCAGTTACATCATCACTTGATTCTTAAAATTCAAGGATCCCATCATTGGTTGTCTTTTGTTATATCGTTTACTTTTTTTGGCATTTCAAAATAAGATTTACATGGCAAATACCTTTGCAAATTCTTTTTAAATTTAATCAAAACATTTTACACTACACGAAATTTGAAGTTGGACACATTGCATAAACATATTTATTGATGAAGATCTTACGTTTACCTCTAGCTGTTCTGTAGTAGATTGAGTTGTTGGATTACTATATTGCTTACGTATATATCATCATAGAGTTTTATAATTAATTATCAACAACAAAGCTATAATGCTAGACAGCTACAAAGGAATGACTGAATTACGGAACTGTATAGCAATGATTACATATGAATACTTTGTACTGAGTTTTATAGTATTACTGATGAATAGAAATTAAGCTTACTTGCAATACAATTTAATCCTGTCCAAAACTGATTTGAAGAACATTGACATCTTCCACTTGAACAAGCCAAGGGACTGATACATTCGCGGTCAGCAGTACAGGCCGCATTTACATTCTTCTCTGTAAACAAAACTTTTATTTTAAATTTGTTTATGGTAAACTTGGTTAACATTACTCTTTATTAAAAGCTTTTCTTTGCTTTTTTTCTAAATTTATAATTAAAATATAGTCATAAATCTTGGTTTTTTTGCAATATCAAAAAGTTTGACCAGACTACTTTTTGCCCTCTTTCAATTGTGAATCTATTTAATTTTACTGCTAAGTCTTTATAGCGGTTTTCAAGATAAAAGACGAAACCTAAATTTTACACCTTTGTTTTACTTTTAGCCATGTCGGCTATGTTTGATGAAAGGCGGTGTTATCGCACACATTTGTTAAACTAGTTATCCTAGTGATGATCGTGGCCAAGTATGATTACATTTTGCCTAGTAGTTTCAGAGAAGAAATTTGTGTTAAATTAAAACATGACGACGGCCGACAGCTAAAGAGAAAAGCTAATTTTGTCCTTTTGAACATTTGAGCTTAAAATAAGTGAGTTATATGTAAATGAAACAACAACAAACCCAAACACGTAAAAAAAATCTATATCTGAGCAATTGGTTTAATAAAATTGTAGTAAAATTACAAATACTTTATATTCATTTCAAAATGTAATCATAACTTTTATATAGAATTAATTCTTACGTGCAGTGCAAGACGATCCTGTCCAATACTGATTTGTAGCGCATTTACAAGCCCCATCTGCACAAGTCATTGGACTTAAACATTCATTGTCAGTATTACATGTTTCACCAACATCCTTTCCTGTGAACAAATGAATGTAAATGCCCTACAAGTTCTTGCATTTTTATGTTCAATTTTAATGTTATTATAGAGTTAATTACCTTGTCTTAATGATTGAAAAACATATGTGTGCGTACCTTTTTGTTATTCTTTTTACCGACACTATAAGAGAATGTTTGAGGTGTAAAACTTAACCGTTTTAACACGTTTAACTCAGTTACATAATCACGTGATTCTTAAAATTCAAGGATCCCATCATTGGTTGTCTTTTGTTATATCGTTTACTTTTTTGTCATTTCAAAATAAGATTTACATGGCAAATACCTTTGAAAATTCTTTTTAAATTAAATCAAAACATTTTACATTACACGAACTTTGAAGTTGGACACATTGCATAAATATATTTATTGATGAAGATCGTACGCTTACCTCTAGCTGTTCTGTAGTGGATTGAGTTGTTGGATTACTATTTCGTTTACGTATATATCATCATAGAGTTTTAAAATTAATTATCAACAACACAACTATAATGCTAGACAACTACAAAGGAATGACTGAATTACGGAACTGTATAGCAATGATTATACATGCATACTTTGTACTGAGTTTTATAGTATTACTGATGAATAGAAATTAAGCTTACTTGTTTTACAATTTGATCCTGTCCAAAACTGATTTGAAGAACATTGACATCTTCCACTTAAACAAGCCAAGGGACTGATACATTCGCGGTTTGCAGTACAGGCCGCATTTACATTCTTCTCTGTAAACAAAACTTTTATTTTATATTTGTTTATGGTGAACTGGGTTAACATTACTCTTTATTAAAAGCTTTTCTTTGGTTTTTTTTTCTTAATTGATAATAAGAATACAGTCATAAATCTTGTTCTTTGTGCAATATCAAAAAGTTTGACCAGACTACTTTTTGCCCTCGTTCAAATATAAATCTACTTAATTTTACTGCTAAGTATTTATAGCGGTTTTCAAGACAATAGACGAAACCTAAATTTAACACCTTTGTTTTAATTTTAGCCATGTCGGCTATGTTGGATTAACGGCGGTGTTATCGCACACATTTGTTAAACTAGATATCCTAGTGATGATCGTGGCCAAGTTTGGTTACATTTTGCCTAGTAGTTTCAGAGAAGAAATTTTGAGTTAAATTTAAACATGACGACGGCCGACAGCTAAAGAGAAAAGCTTACTTTGTCCTTTTGAACATTTGAGCTAAAAACAGGTGAGGTATATGTAAATGAAACAACAACAAACCCAAAAAACGTAAAAAAAATCTATATCTAAGCAATTGGTTTAATAAAATTGTAGTAAAATTACAAATACTTTATAGTCATTTCAAAATGTAATCATAACTTTTATATAGAATTAATTCTTACGTGCAGTGCAAGACGATCCTGTCCAATACTGATTTGTAGCGCATTTACAAGCCCCATCTGCACAAGTCATTGGACTTGAACATTCATTGTCAGTATTACATGTTTCACCAACACCCTTTCCTGTGAACAAATGAATGTAAATGCCCTACAAGTTCTTGCATTTTTATGTTCTATTTTAATGTTATTATAGAGTTAATTAACTTGTCTTAATGATTGTAAAACATATGTGTGCGTACCTTTTTGTTATTCTTTTTACCGACACTATAAGAGAAGGTTTGAGGTGTAAAACTTAACCGTTTTAACATGTTTAACTCAGTTACATAATTACGTGATTCTTAAAATTCAAGGATCCCGTCATTGGTTGTCTTTTGTTATATCGTTTACTTTCTTTGTCATTTCAAAATAAGATTTACATGGCAAATACCTTTGAAAAATTCTTTTTAAATTTAATCAAAACATTTTATACTAAACAAAATTTGAAGTTGGACACATTGCATAAACATATTTATTGATGAAGATCTTACGTTTACCTCTAGTTGTTCTGTAGTAGATTGAGTTGTTGGATTACTATATTGTTTACGTATATATCATCATAGGGTTTTATAATTAATTATCAACAACAAAGCTATAATGCTAGACAGCTACAAAGGAATGACTGAATTACGGAACTGTATAGCAATGATTACATATGAATACTTTGTACTGAGTTTTATAGTATTACTGATGAATAGATATTAAACTTACTTGCAATACAATTTGATCCTGTCCAAAACTGATTTGAAGAACATTGACATCTTCCACTTGAACAAGTCAAGGGACTGATACATTCGCGGTCAGCAGTACAGGCCGCATTTACATTCTTCTCTGTAAACAAAACTTTTATTTTAAATTTGTTTATGATAAACTTGGTTAACATAACTCTTTATTAAAAGCTTTTCTTTGGGTTTCTTTTTTTCCAAATTTATAATTAGAATATAGTCATAAATCTTGGTTTTTTTTGCAATATCAAAAAGTTTGACCAGACTACTTTTTGCCCTCTTTCAATTATGAATCTATTTAATTTTACTGCTAAGTATTTATAGCGGTTTTCAAGACAATAGACGAAACCTAAATTTTACACCATTCTTTTACTTTTAGCAAAGTCGGTTATGTTGGATGGACGGCGGTGGTTACGCACACATGTGTTAAACTAGATATCCTAGTGATGATTATGGCCAAGTTTGGTTACATTTTGCCTAGTAGTTTCAGAGAAGAAATTTTGTGTTAAATTAAAACATGACGACGGCCGACAGCTAAAGAGAAAAGCTTACTTTGTCCTTTTGAACAGTTGAGCTAAAAATATGTGAGGTATATGTAAATGAAAAAATAACAAACCCAAAAAACGTAAAAAAAATCTATATCTAAGCAATTGGTTTAATAAAATTGTATTAAAATTACAAATACTTTATATTCATCTGAAAATGTAATCATAACTTTTATATAGAATTAATTCTTACGTGCAGTGCAAGACGATCCTGTCCAATACTGATTTGTAGCGCATTTACAAGCCCCATCTGCACAAGTCATTGGACTTAAACATTCATTGTCAGTATTACATGTTTCACCAACACCCTTTCCTGTGAACAAATGAATGTAAATGCCCTACAAGTTCTTGCATTTTTATGTTCTATTTTAATGTTATTATAGAGTTAATTAACTTGTCTTAATGATTGTAAAACATATGTGTGCGTACCTTTTTGTTATAATATTTACCGACACTATAAGAGAAGGTTTGAGGTGTAAAACATAACCGTTTAAACATGTTTAACTCAGTTACATAATCACGTGATTCTTAAAATTCAAGGATCCCATCATTGGTTGTCTTTTGTTATATCGTTTACCTTTTTTGGCATTTCAAAATAAGATTTACATGGCAAATACCTTTGCAAATTATTTTTAAATTTAATCAAAACATTTTACACTACACGAAATTTGAAGTTGGACACATTGCATAAACATATTTATTGATGAAGATCTTACGTTTACCTCTAGCTGTTCTGTAGTAGATTGAGTTGTTGGATTACTATATTGTTTACGTATATATCATCATAGAGCTTTATAATTAATTATCAACAACAAAGCTATAATGCTAGACAGCTACAAAGAATGACTGAATTACGGAACTGTATAGCAATGATTACATATGAATACTTTGTACTGAGTTTTATAGTATTACTGATGAATAGAAATTAAGCTTACTTGCAATACAATTTGATCCTGTCCAAAACTGATTTGAAGAACATTGACATCTTCCACTTGAACAAGCCAAGGGACTGATACATTCGCGGTCAGCAGTACAGGCCGCATTTACATTCTTCTCTGTAAACAAAACTATTATTTTAAATTTGTTTATGGTAAACTTGGTTAACATTACTCTTTATTAAAAGCTTTTCTTTGCTTTTTTTCTAAATTTATAATTAGAATACAGTCATAAATCTTGTTCTTTGTGCAATATCAAAAAGTTTGACCAGTTTACTTTTTACCTTCTTCAATTACGAATCTATTTAATTTTACTGCTAAGTATTTATAGCGGTTTTCAAGACAATAGACGAAACCTAAATTTTACACCATTCTTTTACTTTTAGCAAAGTCGGCTGTGTTGGATTGACGGCGGTGTTATCGCACACATTTGTTAAACTAGATATCCTAGTGATGATTATGGCCAAGTTTGGTTACATTTTGCCTCGTAATTTCAGAGAAGAAATTTTGTGTTAAATTAAAACATGACGACGGCCGACAGCTTAAGAGAAAAGCTTACTTTGTCCTTTTGAACAGTTGAGCTAAAATTATGTGAGGTATATGTAAATGAAAAAATAACGAACCCAACGACAAAAAAAACGTAAAAAAAATCTATATTTCAGCAATTGGTTTAATAAAATTGTAGTAAAATTACAAATACTTTATATTCATCTGAAAATGTAATCATAACTTTTATATATAATTAATTCTTACGTGCAGTGCAAGACGATCCTGTCCAATACTGATTTGTAGCGCATTTACAAGCTCCATCTGCACAAGTCATTGGACTTAAACATTCATTGTCAGTATTACATGTTTCACCAACACCCTTTCCTGTGAACAAATGAATGTAAATGCCCTACAAGTTCTTGCATTTTTATGTTCTATGTTAATGTTATTATAGAGTTAATTAACTTGTCTTAATGATTGTAAAACATATGTGTGCGTACCTTTTTGTTATTATATTTACCGACACTATAAGAGAAGGTTTGAGGTGTAAAACTTAACCGTTTTAACACGTTTAACTCAGTTACATAATCACGTGATTCTTAAAATTCAAGGATCCCATCATTGGTTGTCTTTTGTTATATCGTTTACTTTTTTGTCATTTCAAAAAAAGATTTACATGGCAAATACCTTTGAAAATTCTTTTTAAATTAAATCAAAACATTCTACATTACACGAAATTTGAAGTTGGACACACTGCATAAATATATTTATTGATGAAGATCGTACGCTTACCTCTAGCTGTTCTGTAGTGGATTGAGTTGTTGGATTACTATTTCGTTTACGTATATATCATCATAGAGTTTTAAAATTAATTATCAACAACACAACTATAATGCTAGACAACTACAAAGGAATGACTGAATTACGGAACTGTATAGCAATGATTATACATGCATACTTTGTACTGAGTTTTATAGTATTACTGATGAATAGAAATTAAGCTTACTTGTTTTACAATTTGATCCTGTCCAAAACTGATTTGAAGAACATTGACATCTTCCACTTAAACAAGCCAAGGGACTGATACATTCGCGGTTTGCAGTACAGGCCGCATTTACATTCTTCTCTGTAAACAAAACTTTTATTTTATATTTGTTTATGGTGAACTGGGTTAACATTACTCTTTATTAAAAGCTTTTCTTTGTTTTTTTTTTTTTCTAAATTGATAATTAGAATACAGTCATAAATCTTGTTCTTTGTGCAATATCAAAAAGTTTGACCAGACTACTTTTTGCCCTCGTTCAAATATAAATCTACTTAATTTTACTGCTAAGTATTTATAGCGGTTTTCAAGACAATAGACGAAACCTAAATTTAACACTTTTGTTTTAATTTTAGCCATGTCGGCTATGTTGGATTAACGGCGGTGTTATCGCACACATTTGTTAAACTAAATATCCTAGTGATGATCGTGGCCAAGTTTGGTTACATTTTGCCTAGTAGTTTCAGAGAAGAAATTTTGAGTTAAATTTAAACATGACGACGGCCGACAGCTAAAGAGAAAAGCTTACTTTGTCCTTTTGAACATTTGAGCTAAAAATAGGTGAGGTATATGTAAATGAAACAACAACAAACCCAAAAAACGTAAAAAAAATCTATATCTAAGCAATTGGTTTAATAAAATTGTAGTAAAATTACAAGTACTTTATAGTCATTTCAAAATGTAATCATAACTTTTATATAGAATTAATTCTTACGTGCAGTGCAAGACGATCCTGTCCAATACTGATTTGTAGCGCATTTACAAGCCCCATCTGCACAAGTCATTGGACTGAAACATTCATTGTCAGTATTACATGTTTCACCAACACCCTTTCCTGTGAACAAAAGAATGCAAATGCCTCACAAGTTCTTGCATTTTTATGTTCTATTTTAATGTTATTATAGAGTTAATTACCTTGTCTTAATGATTGTAAAACATATGTTTGCGTACTTTTTTGTTATTCTATTCAACGACACTGTACGAGAAGTTTTAAGGTTTGAAACAAAATTGTTTAACCCTGCTACATAATCACGTGATTCTTCAAAGTCAGGGATCTCGTCATTGGTTGTCTATCGTTATATCGTATACTTTAATTGTCATTTCAAAATAAGATGAACATGACAGATTCCTTTGAGAGTTTTTAAATTTATTCAAAACCTTTCACACTCCAAGCAAATTAGAGTTGGACACATTGCATAAATATATTTATTGATGAAGATCGTACGTTTGCCTCTAGCTCTTTTGTGATGGTTTGCGTTTTTGGATTACTATATCATTTAAGTATATATCATCATAGATTTTTATAATTAATTATCAATAACACAACTATAATGCTATTCTACAAAGGACAGAATGAATTAAGGAACTGTTTAGCCATGATTAGATATAAAAACTGTTTACTGGGTTTTATATGTTTTACTGATAAATAGAGACCAATCTTACTTGCTTTTTTTTTAATATCCTCCTTTCCTAAGGCAATGTTGACATTATATGGATGTGCCTATTGTTTATAGGGTCATCCCTGGTCATACCGCTTCCATCGTGTATTTCTATTTTCCTGGCTTTGGACGCACAAAACTTGTAACGTGTTATTTTAAAAGTATTGTTTTAACACGTCTAATTTGGGAAAATCAAAAGTAATGACTGAGTTGAAGAACTTAAATACATTGATTGTCTATAAAGACTATATTAATACAACTTACGTTCAGCACAATTAGATTCTGTCCAATACTGGTTTTTAGAACATTGACAACTTCCATTAGAACAGGTCATGGGGAATATACATACGATATTTGCAGTACAAGCTGCATTCACTTTTTTCTCTGTTAATCGAAATATATTTAGTATCGATAAAGTGACAAAAACATTGAGTAAACAAATACAAATTATGTCATCTGAAAATGATTAACAACCCTATAATTGTGTAAACTTCCTGCAAAAATAATGTAATGTTTAATGGGGAATGGTGTATGGTGCAGAAGGAATGTTGTATTGTATTTAAATTGAATTTTTGAATTTCTAAAAAACATTGTGTTGTAGGTAAACTTAAATAGTGGAACTCATGATTTATTGAAATGGGAAAAGGTAAATGCGGAACAATGGTGTATGGAGAATTGTGTATGACATCAATATGTATGTTTTCTAATAGTGTACAGTGTATGGTGTATGGTGTTAGTTGGAAGGTTTTACTCCTCGGTGACTATCACTACAAACCAGTAAAAGTCTGAAATGGACTATATTTGTACTCGACTGTACTGATTTTTACTCGACCAGTTTGAATTGGTGTGAATTTTACTCGATATTACTCGATCCCAATCTTAACCATACTCGACTGTACTGATTTGTACTTGACCCTGATCTTTGCCATTGAAAATAGTTTGAACTATTACTCGACCAGTCTGAAACAGTCTTATGTTTTTACAATTAGGGGTTTTTGCTTGTGAGAGAGCTGTCTACATATTCCAGATTTTTTTTTACCTGCAAACCACACCTATACTGAGGGTAATAAAACCTTATTATTGTGCTTCTTGTTTGGCATGTGTTTTTTTTAAAACCAAATTTAATTTTTATAAATTCCTAAATACAAACTACATAGGCTTCATGGTTACATACAACAGTTATATAACTATCTTTTTGGTGAGGTATCAACAGCCAACAAAATCACTGACATTGTTTAACCTTATATCAGAAAAATATCTATTCTTATCATAATTTGGGAGATATATATATATATATATATATATATATCAAAAAGGGATAAAAAATTAAAGAAATTAATAAAATTGTTCTTCTGATTAGGTGTAAACTATAAATTAATACCTCCTGCTTGGGGCAAACTCATTAAAAGGATCACACCTGGTCAGAGAGTAATAAATTTTAAATAACATCCATTCAAAATTACAACATCCTGTAAAATTTAAATCACAAGGCCTTTTGAATTCACTAGATAAGTAATACACGAGTTTAAGAGAAATAGGGTTTTCTTTTTACCTGTAAAACATACCTGTACAGAGGTAATTAAACCTTATTAAGGTGCTTCTTGTATGCAATGTCTTTAATATTGACAAAACTTATTTAAAGTAAATTGAAATGAATTTTTACTGCAATTTTGGAACACATTTCGTTTTTTAAAAGGTTATGAAGGATTGCTACGGAAGTTCTATTATCATGATTATTTTAAATTCTTGGTTTTACAAAAAAATGGTGTCATTTTTTAAATTTATTGAGTTGCTTTATATACTATTTTATATATATATTTTAATAAAAAAAAAAATGTTCACTGCATTATTAACTAAACTCGATTGATACCATAAATCTATGCCAGGCTTAAGTTAGTGGTGAAAACTCTCCAGTAACCATAAAATATATCTGAAACGTTCAAAATATTTTGAATAACATTTAAGATATTTTAATAATGGTCGAAAGTTCTAAAGTTTTTGATGTACATAAGGCAATGTGAACATGATATCTTGTATATAAAAATTCATTTAACGAAACTTAATTTATTACATGATATTTTTTAATCCGACCAGAAATTACTTCCTTTGATCACCTTGTGTTATTCTTATTTTGAAGGTGATATACATTGTATATATATATATATGTATGTATATAAATGTTGATGAATATGGTGTTGATGGTTATATTATGTTGATTGTGAAATTTTGGTTTCAATGCTTTATTAAATACATTTTGGATTTCAAATTGTTGTTCAAATTTCTAAAGTTCCTAAATTGATGAAATAGAACAGATAGATACAAAAAATAGGTCTAGATTGGTTAAGACTTGGTCGAGTATGGTTCAGACTAGGTCGAGTATGGTTCAGGTCGAGCATGGTTCAGACTTGGTCGCGAATTGTTAAGACTATGTCGAGTATGGTTCAGACGCGTATAAAATGGTTAAGTACTGGTCGAGTAAAGGTCGAGTACAGGTTCAGACTGTTCAGTATGGTTCAGACTACAGTCGAGCAATATCAGGTAAATTTAAGACCAATTCAGACTGGTCGAGTAAAAATCAGTACAGTCGAGTACAGATATAGGCGATTTCAGACTTTTACTGGTTTGTAGTGTATATGAAGGAAATACATGCTTTTACGTTTTTGTGTACCCCAGATATGGATTTTATCATGAATTCCAAATTGTTCAATCTATGAAAAGCTGAGCATTTTGAAAGACGTCGTCAAGTCTTAAATCAAAAAGGTAACAAATTCTGAGAATATCTATGAACTTCAAATATAAATTGAACTTTCATCCTTAACGGATTCCAAGTACAACGGTAGTATAATGAGCACTTATGATACAGCAATCCCACCTCATGAATGTATTAATGAGAACCGATAGAAGAAATTGTCTTTTTGAAACGCAGTTTTGAATACGGGAATATAAAGCTTCCACATTTTATAAATTAACTGATGCATTGCCTATTTCAAAAACTATATCCTGAATGTTTGAATGGAAGATAATTTCACATCAGAGTTATTGGCGCATACAGTGAAATATCTACAAAACATTTCCCTGACGTTATTTTTTGTAGCAATGGCGTCATGTTTGTTGGAAAATAAAAATGTTCGATTCTATTCAGAAGTTCGATACTACAAAGAGCATTCACAAAATGTGATAGTTGCCACGTGTGGAGTAGGAACTGCTTATCCCTCCTGGGCACCTCAGTTCAACTTCTTCCTTATTCAATTTTGTCAGGGTTCGTGATGGTCAGGTTTCAGTTCTTTACAAAGTGCTGTACGGATTTGTTCATCTTTTTTAGTCGTTTTTCGTGGGTTTTTTTTGGCCATGGTGATGACAGTTTTTCTCGACTTTTAAGTATTAATGTCCTATTGATATCTTCTGTCTCTTTTGTACAATTCCCAATGAACAAATAAATTGACTCAGACATTCACAGCCGACTATATACTCTACACCAAAACATATGTGTATAGATAACAGAAGGGGCAAAAGGCTCTACATAGGCTTATATTGCATGTTCATCTAATAATATATCGGTTTCTTATATATATATACAATACAGTTCATTGGTAGCAAATGTTGATCATGATAAATAAGGATATGATACTAGTATATATATTAAGTGGGATAAATAAAGTGAGAACCATTCGCATGTGATATCAATCTAAATTCATATTCATCATGTTCATTATATAAAGGAAAGACAACTTACTAGGAGCACAAATTGAACCTGTCCAATATTCGTATACATTACAATTACAACGTTCACTTGCAGACCTCTGTTCTATATGACAATCAGGGAGGATTTCAGCAACCCTTTTCCTTCTTCCTCTCTCTGAAATTTAAGTATTGCAAGTATCGAGAATAAACCATGAAAGTGAGGCAGTTAAGTATAACAAAACACGGAAGCTTTGTAAAAAGGACGGATTGAGAGATTGTGTTTTAGCTGTTCATTGTCTTTGTTTGTACATATTGTATTTTTTTATGGACGGACGAGCAGATTGTAAGTATACTTTATGCTCTCTAGAAATTGATTCTTACTGGTAACATTCGTGCATTTAACTCTTATCGGAGCGTTTAAATTGAATCTCCGTAAAATATTACAACACAAATGTTCATTTCTTTTTATTAAGAACGTCTGAATGTTTTTAATGAAATAACGAACAGTTGATTTACGATACATAGTTTATAGAAAACTTTCTTGGGAATTGACTCAATTTTATTGTCTCTTGTATTCTGCGTTTATTTAATTAAATCAATCATAGAAATACATCATAACTTGACAAAGTTTAAAATTCATATTTATCATTTGAATTTGAATAGTACCTGCATACGAATTACTGAAGATCAGAGAAAGTCCGTGTATTGATTTGAATAACAATAGTTACTAGTACATGTCAGAAAGTTAGGCATAGTTGTTATAAAAAAATCATGAAACATAAACTTATTGATTATGTCACAAGACCATTTAAGCAAGGAGATCAGTTCCAAACTACTTAGTTGTCAGGTATTTGAAAATATGTATTAAATTCATAATATTTGCTTAATCAATGGTATGGTTGATGAGTTTTTGTATCAATTTGCCTTAAAAAAAGGCATATATCTAAAACAAATATCACATTAAACACTCTTTTACAAATTTACGTATTGAAATTTGTTAATTTTACAATACAGTCTGCACCAGAACAAACTGTAAGAGCACCAAGAATTCCCCATGTAAACAAATCATTGCAGGTGAAAATACCACAGCCCGAAAGATGGGAAAGTGATGATTACATTAAGAGCTTTATATTCAAAAGGAATCTCTCGACAAATAGACTAAATTTTATAAATTATTAATAGGAATATTCAAAATATGTACAAACACAAGTGACCTCTTACAGAATTAAAAATTACAGCGTATTTAAATCATCTGTAGCTCATTTTATATCGACAATAACAATGGCTAATAAAACTCATTCGGATACATAATTTCTAATATGATAGAAATAAAGTTGATATAAAAAACTTACTTTTCTGACAGGTTGATCCATCATCATAGTAACTATTCACACAACGACATTTGTTAGTATCACAAATTGCGTTACCATATTTAGTACAATTACTATCATTAATATTAGTACAAGCAATATATCCTACTGCTGCTTCGCATGGTATATATAGTGTACATAACAGTAGTATCTGAGGAAGAACACATAAGTATATATTGAAAAAAGAACAAAAGTAACACATACCATCTGTTTTTTTTTAGTATCTATTTTGACCAACCTTTAGTAATGGTTATAACTAAAACTACATGATATGAACATTACT